TGTATCCACTGCGTTTGCTGCCTGGCAAAGGCAAACCTGACCTTGACACGAATGCGTGGTTCTGTCTCCTCTTGCAGCAGCGTCGCCCCTAAGCTGAAAAACTGGCCAGCACAATGGGAAAAAAACAGAACAAGAAGAAAGTGGAAGAGGTCTTAGAAGAAGAGGAGGAGGAGTATGTGGTGGAGAAGGTCCTGGATCGGCGAGTGGTAAAGGGCAAAGTGGAGTATCTGCTGAAGTGGAAAGGCTTCTCAGAGTAAGTGCATCCCTGCCTGCTGCTGCGGGGTGGGTGCTGGGCTGCGTGGGCATCTCTTCTGCCTCTGGCTCCCAAGACATCTCTAGACAGGGGGCTCGGTCTCCCTGCGCCTCTCCTTGTCTGGAAAACGGAGCTAACAGGCCAAGGGCAGTCATGATGATACAAACAGTGGTGCTGAATGCCTCGAGCTCTAATCAGGGCGATGAGAGCACAGCCGAGGTGAGAAAGTCCTGTTTCTGTCTCATGAACAGGCTGTGCAGTGCCCTGGTGGGGCTTCACCCCCTTAAACTTAGTGTGAAACGAGCAGACAGATAAAACTAACTGCAATTCTCTCCTGAGAGGTGAAATAACCGCCCTGCTGTGGCTGGATCAGGGCAGGGTCCTGTTTCTCGGGGCGAGGACACCTGCATCCAGGCTGCCGCATCTCTGTATGACCTGGTGTCCAGGGCTTTCCTTGGCAGGGAACGCTGCAGCAAGCTGCCCGCCTGTAAAACTGCGCTGTTGTCTTTGCTTGCAGTGAAGATAACACCTGGGAGCCGGAGGAGAACCTGGACTGCCCGGACCTCATTGCGGAATTCCTTCAGTCCCAAAAAACCGCACACGAGAGCGAGAAGTCTGAGGGGAGCAAACGCAAAGCAGAATCCGACACGGAGGATAAGGGGGAGGAGAGCAAACCAAAGAAGAAGAAGGAGGAGGTGAGGCAGGGTGGGATTTCGGTGCTCGCCTCCCTACCCCTGGGTTTGCCCAGCAGCCAGAGCCGCCACGCTCTAAAACCTGTGCTCCTTCCTGGAGGGGAAACCGTCGCACATCACTGAAGTGCTTTGGAAAAGCTGTAGCTTTCGGAAGGAGACACAAGCTACTGTCTAAGCCAAGCTTGTTCCTGAATCCAGAGCCAGCTCTAGCACTAAACTGAGAGGCTGCTTATTGAACCAAAAGGATAGGGAGCCCCTGCTTCTCTTGAGGAGCTGTGCAAGGGTGAAACCGGAGGTAGAGGTTGGCTGTTGCCCCTTCAAGAGGGGAAGCGAGGTGAGGCAGAGAGCCTCCTGCTCAGGATGCTCACACCTGCTTGGGAAAACAGGCAGTAAAGGCTCTGCAGTCTGATTTTCATCCCAGGAGCTGCTGAATCTTGGCCAACACAAGAGTTTGACCAGCAGGGCCTTGGAAATCAGATCCTCCGCTTGCAGCATGAGCAGGGCGCTCCGCTGTGCTGTCCTGGGTCACCTCAGTGCTGTTGTCACAGTTCCCCACTGACCTTGGTCATTATAGTCTGAGCATCTGATACGCAGAGCCTTTCTGAACAGCCACCGGTGTGTCCTGCTGCCCGAAACCAGGGCTGTGGCTGTCACCCTGCCGTGCTACAAGTGGAAACTTGTCTTTTTTTTTTCAGTCGGAGAAACCGCGAGGCTTCGCCCGGGGATTTGAGCCAGAGCGAATCATCGGTGCCACGGATTCCAGCGGGGAGCTGATGTTCCTGATGAAGTGGTGAGTGTGTCTTTGTGTCTGTCACTTCTTCACTTATTCTGTGCCAGAGAGGGAAGGACCTGCACCTGGGGAGTCCCTGCTACCTGGCATGAAATCTCTTGCGATGGCGCTGCTGCCTGAGGTGACCCTCTGCGCTGAGGCTAACGTGGATGTGAATCGAGCAGGTAGGGCCCTTGGGATTGTACGGCTCTTAAGGTGTCCCCCCGCAGCAGGCGCGAGCTTGGGGAGAGAGAGGGGCATGGTGTCGTGGCGTGGGCTGCAGTTTTCGGAAGGCTGCACCCAGAGGAGAGCCGTGACGACCGCGTCCCCTTCAGCCGTAGTGACACAGGGCTTGTCGCTGGCGCAGGTGGGAGCCAAACCAGTCAGGAATTGGTGTGAGAGCTGTTTTTTTCCACTGTCTCAGGAGTACAGAGTGGCCTTGGGGGCAGAGCTGCAGCTTTGTTTCGGCTTCTCCGCCCCCATCCCCAGAGCTGAACTCACGCCTGAATTTTTCCTGGGCTCATGTGCTGCTTCCCCCTGCTCCAGAGCCACTCGGGAAGGGGTCACTGGGATCCCCCAGGCAGCTCGGGGGCTCCGTTTTCCTGCCACTTCTTGATTTATTTTTTTTTTTCCTCCGGTCTCCACTTCTTCCACCTCCCCTCAGCAACCCCTTAACTTTCCCCTCTGCTCTGACCTGTAGGAAGAACTCGGACGAGGCCAAAAAACGCCCTGGCCCCCGCAAAGGAAGCCAACATCAAGTGCCCGCAGGTGGTCATCTCGTTCTACGAGGAGAGGTTGACATGGCATTCCTACCCCTCAGAGGACGATGACAAGAAAGAGGACAAGAACTAAACCCTGGCGCCTGCTCTTGGGCAGCCTTTGTCTAAAGATCTGAACTGTGGGTTTGAGCGAAAGGGGGAGAACGCAGCTCTGCTCTGCTGGGAGCGTAGAGATGGTTGGAGAAGATGCCCTTTGAAGAGACCAGTATGGTTTCTGTGCCCTGCAGCTGCTCAACTGCTTTATGCAGCTTCATGCTGTGTACAGATTCAAACCAGCCTGGCTCAATTTCTTCATTTTTGGGGGGGGGGAGGGAAAGGCAGG